AAAGCAATTGAAAAAAAAAAACAAACCACAACCCACCAAACCACCAAATCTTCATATGTGGAAGAAAGAACACTATCTATAGCTGAAAAACTTATCCTGCGGTGATGCTTCAGAAGACTAATCCTTGGTTTGTTAGAGTTATCTGTATTATCTAATCACACACAAAATAAAACTTCTGAAGTCTAGAGACCTAACATTATGATTTCTGTATGACTAATACGACATTGGTATGCAATCTTCTCATTTTGACACATTATTTTCGTAAAATGTTTGTGACATGGAATAACTGCAATAGGTCTTTAACTACTGTTTTGTTGAAGAAAGATTATGAAGTTGTGTTAACTTGTCTAATTAATAACTTTTAATTGCATTCTTAAATTGTTATAATCTTCCATCTTTGGCTTAACAATGCTTTTCAAAAATCCTTTGATGCCTATATTTTACAGAGAAACCCAGTTACAGAGCGTGTAATAGAAAACTGCTTTTCTCTCACATGGGCTGCAGGCTCGTGAAGGTGAAAACTTTGTTTGAAGAAGGCTAAAGTTTTCTCACTGGTAGGTACCAACAGGCTAGTTTAAACAGGCTAAATTTATGTTGTACGTTACAACACTATTTCTGTTTAAAAAAAAATTAATAAGAAAACATAGAATCTGCAGTTTGGGGGAGTAAATAGAGCAACCCAGCTACACCTAATGTGCTAAGGGTGAGCAGTAACCTAGCCTAATGCTGTAGCTCATAGCCTTGGAGTACAGAAACTTTGGCAAAGAATGGCACACAAAGTCAGATTTTCAGATTCTGCAACAAAAACAACCTAGAGATCATGCAGGGCTATTGCTTCCTTTCTGGAGGGCCGAATTTCCTACAGAAAGATCCCACCAGAGCAACCAGGAGCAGACTATCTGAGAAAGGCAGCTGACTCCTGTGGACGAGCTCCAGGACTCTGCAGCCGAGGAGGTGCCTCTACCCACTGGGAAGAATCACAGGGTTAACACTGATGAGCTTGACCTGGATCAGAAGGAGAGCCAAGAGACACACCACCATGCTGAGCCAAAGGAGAATTAAGGGGATGTACCCACCGGAGGAGGACCCCAACCCTCTGACTAAAGGAAATGGTATCAAGAGGAAGCTTTATCCCATGTTTCCCT